AGTTTATATCCAAGTGTCTTGTCACTGGTATACTCTTTACACTTGAACCTTTTTTTAAAAAATGGTGCACTAGAACTGCAAATATTTCAGTTTTCCCAGTTTCTAAGTGGCTGAGTCAAAATTCTCCACAGGACAGTTTATATCCAAGTGTCTTGTCACTGGTATACTCTTTACACTTGAACCTTTTTTTAAAAATGGTGCACTAGAACTGCAAATATTTCAGTTTTCCCAGTTTCTAAGTGGCTGAGTCAAAATTCTCCACAGGAAAAAAAAAGCAGGAATATTTAATTTAAGCTTCCTAATCAATTCCAATGTTTGCTATTTTCTCAAAACAGGCCTCCATGTATTTTCAGTGAAGTATTTGTCATTAGGTGCTTTATGTCATTGTATCAAAAAATTGGCTCATGGGAATTTTAAAAGTGTAGAATTTGATGTAGGACTGGCAAAATGAAGTTAATATTTATAAAATTGTGTTTAGTATTTCCCGTCCTCAAAAAAACCTGGCCTTTAAACCAGGGATAGTGAAAACCTATAACTGGGCAGAATTAGCTCACAGTGATTTAAATTAATAGCTAAAGTGTATCATATTAATAAAGAGTAATTTTTATTCAGTTTATGAAGGCTGTTGCTTAAAAAAACAAATGTAATGGATCTTAGCCTAGAATTAAGGGTTTGCTTAGCCTGATGTCCGTGCACAAATAGGTAATGGTCAGATATAATTTTAACATATTCAGAACACCTTTCCAAAGTCCTAGAGCATGAAATGTTCATATTTTTCTAGTTTTTATATATGTTGGTTATATTCTACTAATTACTCTTCAATTTAAATAGAATAGAATTATTAAACATGGATCTCGAAATCAAGATATTTTAGGGAAATCATTACTAGTTTATGGCCAATATTTAAATGAGGATTTCAAAATGTATATAATCATTGTTATACTTATTTTATTTAGAGTTCTATGATTGCATGATGCCAGTATTTATGAAACAAATATGTTAGCCAAAAGCAAAACAAAACAAACAAAAAATATAGTAAAGAACATGTTGTGAAGAACAAAATGAATTATTTGGTATGAATATTAATGTTGATGGTAGCTTTAAATGTACTTTTATAAAAATTATTTTAAATGTATTTTGAGCTTTAATAATTAAAAACAATTTGATTTGGAGCTGGATTTGGTGGTAACATCTGTAGAGAATTAGAAATTGATAGTTGTTATTCTCTGACAGTCAAGTGAGAATTAGAAATTAATATATTGGGACTTTTGATGGTATTATAAGAGGAAAAATAAGTGTTAAATGCTTAAAAGCTTACATTATAGAATCATAGGGAAAAGGGAGTTTAGAATGATCATTCTTTGGGTTGACGATGACTTTTAACAGTTACTAAACCTATATAATACCAAATTTTGACCTGGAAGAGAAAAATGGGTTAATGGGGACCAAAAGTAGACACGGGCAGCCTAGTTAGGATTTTACTGCAGTTTTTCAAGTAGGAGATGATGTAGATTGTGCCAGACATTTTGTGCATGTGAAAATATGTATACGTTCACCTATCTGTGCATAGAGACTGAGAGAACATAAATAACCCGAGTGGGAAATGAGCAAATTTCACATCTGCTCAGCTTTTGAAGCACGTACCTGCAGTTTACTTGGTGACTGAAAAGCTTCACTTAAATTTTTTAAATGTCTACTCATAATATTTTGTGGGAGGAAGGAATGATGCAGAACAGTATAAACAGAGAAAAAGTAAAAATGACCCAATCCATTTCACCACTGTGAAATGACAACTATTAGCATTTTGGTGTATTTCCTTCCAGTTTTTTTTTTTTTTTCCCAATATAGTGGTATGTGGTGTTGGGTATCTTATTGGATAAACACTGGCATGTCAAGAACTGTCAAGGATTTGAGACTTTCCCTACTGTCATGCTAGCAGGTTAGCCTGCCTCAGTTTCATGGACGCAGACAGATGACAAGAGATTTCTGAACCAGAGACAAAGGATTTTATTGCTCACAGCACAGAAGGCAGCATTAATATATTTGTGTCCACTTGCTCCAAGTCCCATGGAGGCCACGCAGATGGAGCAGATGAATATGTACATGCTGCTGGTTGCATTACAGGACAGCAACCCTAAGATTAGGGAACCTGAATATTTTATAATGGGCAGTAACATGTCTTCCCTTTGCTCCAGAAGGAGACTATTATATAGGGCAGTAAGCATGTCAACCCTTTGATCCAAAGGGAGATACAACCTCTATCTCTCAAACCTACTCACTGTACAAACATCCTTGAAAGACTGTCAGTAAAGAAAATAGTGTCTTTTCTTATAAAATGTACAGAAATATGAAAGACTCATGGAGAATTATTTCTCATCAAACATAATTGTTTCACATGCCAATAAGATTTTTTTTATCAGCATTTTAAATGGGTGCATATAGCTGTAAAGAGCAGGGATGTAGCACAATTTACCACCATCCCCAGTTTTCCCAATATTGGTCTTTTAGGTTGTTTCCATTAAAAAAGCTTCACTTAGACATTTCAGTTTGGGGCAAAGGGGGTAAAATATTGCAGCCACCTTGTGTGTTGTAGCTAAGTTTGGAATAGATAGCAAACAGGTTCTCCCTGATTTGAAGTCCATACAGTCTCTTTAGCTTGGCCTTCTGTATAAATACGCACTGGCTGTGAGTGGCAAGCATGTCTGTTGTCTTGGGATGTTATCCAGAAGGAGACAGACTCTGTGATGCTGGATATTAATGCTGTTTCTGGTAGTCCAGCCTGCACTGGTTTTCTTCTGGAAAGGGGAGATATTTCCTGACATGTTCTGCTGCTCACATGTCTGCCTGAGCCTCAGACAGAAGCTCCTACTGCCTGGCATTAGTGGGGCCCAGAAAAGTCCATATAAATCCCTGCAGTGAAAAGGGGAAAAATCCAATCTCCAAATAATGACCATTTTGTCCAGACATCTGGTGGGGGCCTGGTCTGGTGATGGGGATTAAAGAAAGGCAAAACAGGATCACGACCACGTTTTAGTCCTGGAACTAGTGTGGAAGGAAAGTACCTAATGTGGAAACTTCCTTGGGGCTGTAGGGTCTTCTAAAGTATCTAGAACATTTCAGAAGTGACACTAATGGTAGAGACAGGACCTCCTCAGTGGAAAAGAGGACTCAATGAAACATATCCAGCAGAGCCATTTCCTACTCAAAAATCATCCCAGAAAATTCCAGGCTAAAATTTGTGACATATACGGCCATAAAATTAGACTGTCAGGATGGGAAGAGACAACTTTAAAACTTTTCTGAATAAGCAATGATCATAGATTAAGTAGGAGGCAAAGCTTTCTAATTTAAAAAAAAATGAGAGGAAGAGGTGGCAGCAGTATCTCTAAAAGTTTGTGAAAAATAACGGTGAATTTATCTATTCCCAACATTTCTGAGCACCACCTATGTGCTCAGGGCCTTTCTAGAAGCTGGAGAGTTGGTGGTGTACAAGACCGATGAGGCCCCAGGTTCATGGAGGTCAAGTCTAGAAATCAAACAAATAATAAATATCTAATATCCTTTGAAATGGTGAAGACTGCTATGAAAATAATTAAACAGAGTAATGAGGCAGACCCCCGACTTAGACACGAGGTGAAAGGTAGGGAGACACTGTTAGTGGGAGTAGCTGGAGGGGGCTTCTCTGTGGAGGGTACATTTGGGCTGAGACCTGCAGGATGAGGAGCTCTGTGAGGCAAAGGACTGTCAAAGGCAAAGCCTATGAGGTAAGAATAAGGGTAACATTTCCAAGGATAAGAAAAGCAAGCTGGAACAAAATGTCCTGGATCCTAATGATCGAGGAAGGAGAAGCAGGACAGATGACCTCAGAGAGGTAGCCAGAGCCAGTTGGTGTAAACCATTGCAAGCTTCAGTAAAAGGTCTGGATTTCAAGTCTAATGGGTGGTGCAATAGATTTTTCACACAACAGAATGGTGGAATCTGGGTTTAAAAGAAGAGTTTTTAAAGACTTTACTCTTTTCCCCAGGTAGAGTAAGCTTCTGGAGTGGTCCACATGAGTGGTGCTGGTGGTTCAGAGAAGTTTGATAGCAGTGTATCAGTTTAGATACGGGGCGTACTTTTAAGTAATATCAACTGAAGTTGTTGATGGATTGGCTTATGGTGCAGGGGGAAGGAAAAGAATTGAGGATACTTTCAGGTCTAGGGTTTGGGCTACTTAATGAATGGTGGTGTAATTACTGACATAAGGGGCCGGCCCGGTGGCGCACTGCTACAGTGCGCCGCTTGGGAAGCGCAGCGGCGCTCCCGCCGAGGGTTCGGATCCCACATATAGACCGGCCGCTCACTGGCTGAGCGAGGTGCGGGTGCACCACCGAGGGCTGCGATCCCGTAGCCGGTCCGGTACGGGCGCGACACTGAGGGTTGCGATCCGTTGCCAGTCATGAAAAAAGACAAAAAGGAAAAAAAAAATTACTGACATAAGGAAGGCTAAAGAAGGAATGGTTTTTGGTGGAATCACAGGGGAGCATCACTAAATAAATTAAAAAGGGAAAAGGGAAAAGTATATATCTCTGCCTGCCTTTAAAGGAAAATCTTGCATGAAAAAAGTAATTCTCGATGTTGAAATTGCTGCCCAGTTTTGCTGGGTCGTTTCGGAGTACCTAGAACCTTACCTGGTAAATGGATAGATGGATGGATGGATGGATGAAAGTGACTTAGAAATGAATGCTCAGATGGACTCGTCTGATTTCTAAAATGCAGTTGTATCTAAGAAGCCATTGAAAGATACTTTTCTCAGAGGACACAGCATGCAGGTCTCAGGGATTCTAACCCAAACTACTTTGTCCATTCTGAGAGTCAACAAAGTAGTGTGTCTTAAGCATTATCTATTATCCTTCCCATTGAGACAGTACCCTGTGGCTCATTTCAACTATAAATGGTGATTGTTTTTGTTTTTCACTTTATAAAAATGATCACAATAATCTTTATTTTACCAGACAGGAAGCACTACTTGCGGCAATCAGTGAAAAAGATGCAAATATTGCCTTGCTGGAATTGTCTGCCTCCAAAAAGAAAAAGACGCAGGAAGAAGTCATGGCCCTCAAGCGGGAAAAAGACCGACTAGTTCATCAGTTAAAGCAGCAGGTGGGGCCTCCTGCATGAAAGGTGTGTTTTGCTGGGTTTGGGGCCTTGGGTGCTTTCTCTGTGTTTAGCCACTCTTTATTTTTCCACATCCATCCTGCGGGTTCAATCAGCTAAAACCAGGTAGGAGTGAAATAGTCTGAGTTGTTGCTGGAACACCACTTTACTGCTTTTTCGTGCTTATGTGCATGTGGCTGGGCTTGTGTGGTTTGCAACCAGTGCTGTTTCCCTTCCTTTTGTATTAGCCTCATCTTTCCAGAAACAGTTCTCAGTTCTTTTCCTTCCAGTGGATGTTATATGACTTCTAATTAAATCCTAGAAGCTCCTAATTAAGTTCTAGGTAACTTTTTTCCTGCTGAACGTGTTACCTTACTGTCTTGCTTACTTTCTGGCCCCTGTAGATAACTCCCCTCATCCAGTTCTTTAGGTTTCTTTCTCTCTGTACTTTCAACTTGGGTTCTTCAACTATTTCATCCAGGACTTTTCAGCCCAGGAACATCTCCCAGCCCCTAGCCCTGCCAGATTATGCTTGAAGACCTCCCCAGCCGTTATTCATTCAGTCTAGTTATTTTTACCATCCGTTTGCCCCATTATCCTGTGTTTCCTCCTCTCTAGGCCATTGTCTTAGTTTTGAGGGAAATGGAAGAAGGGGCATAGTCCTAACTTAAGCAGAAAGTTCTTTGCTTTCTGGAGGGTTTTCTGGAAGTGGCTTAAATGAAAATAATGGCACCTGAAGCATATAGGAAGAAAATCATCCCTGAAATCTTTAGGTGTCATTTCTCGTCCATAAAGATTTAGGGACTTTTGTAAGCAATAGTTAAAGATACTCACTCAGGTTCTAGTTCATTATGAAACCCACTGAGCTCAACAGTCTGTGACCTTCCAAGGTGGCTGCCGCATCTTAGCTAGGGCCACATGTGGCTCTGAAGCTCTGTAAATGCCACATAGTTACCATGCAGAATGTGTCCACGTCGATTTCAGCCCCTGGGACTGGCTCTGTAGGCTCTAGTGTGCCGGGGTGATCTGTGCTAAGCACAGTGTTCAGGGTGAGTGGAAGGGAAGTCCAAAGGAATGAGCCTCCTCGCCTTGTAATGGGGCCAATCCTTTCTTTCCCTCCTCAGGAAGGAAAAGGCATCCTTTAGCCCTAAACCAGAGTCCGTTTCTCATGGGGCTGCCTTGCTGAGAGAGAGAGAGAGAACACCACTACGCCCGGACACTCTCTCCTTGCAGAGAGAAGGTCCCAGTCACTGCCAGACATTGGGGTCATTCCATAGAGCGGCATGCCTCACTAGGGCTGGTCCTGGGGATCAGGAACTGCTTCCAATTGACCTCTTTGGGGCTGCACATCTTCTACACTGGGTTTTCCACCCACTTGGCCACAGAAAGTCGAGATGAGCCTCCTCCTTTCCTTTCCCCCAATCCTTCCCTGCGCACTTTGCGCCTTCCTCTCCTGCACCTAACCGTTGTAGCTTTCTCCCACAGGTTTGTAGACCTAAGAAACAGCCCCCGAGCTCGAATATACCATGCACTTGTGATGCTGGCTACAGCCCAGATATTACGGCCAAGTACCACGAGTCCAGCTACGGTGCATACATGATCCCAAGGTCTCAGGTCAGTCAGCAGCTAAGGAGACACTCACCCACCATGGAGGGAGGGGGAACATGAAGGTCACTTTCATCTCTTTTGAGGATTTTCAGTACTCGGTGGCCACAAAGTCTGAGACCACAGATGATAGCATTATATCACGATTTACCGTGTAATTTCTTTTATTATTTACTTATTATTTCATTTGTTATTATTTTTAGTCCACTTGGTGGACTCACTACAGGTCAGCTCTTCTGAAATGGCCTGGGGGAACTGTAAAGCCAAGGCTGCTAGAGGCCTTTCTACCAGGCATAGTGGATTTTTTCTTTCTGCCTCTTAGATACTTGGCTCCCCATATCTCCCTCTACTTTTTCCAGTATGGAATTTTTATACCTGCTTTTTTCTTTCTCAGACTGTAAAGCCAAGGCTGCTAGAGGCCTTTCTACCAGGCATAGTGGATTTTTTCTTTCTGCCCCTTAGATACTTGGCTCCCCATATCTCCCTCTACTTTTTCCAGTATGGAATTTTTATACCTGCTTTTTTCTTTCTCAACGTCATGAAAATGCACTCCTAGAATCCAGGAAGGATTGAGTGTAACCCTTCAATTTGCTCCTGGGAAACTGCACAAAGCCTTCATTCTTTGCGACAGGCTCGGTTTTAGGTATCATGGGGCACATTTGGGAAACCCCAGCGGTGCAGAGTTAGGCTCCTGCCTGGGCTAAGGCAGGGTCTGCAGAAGGGCTGTAGTGGAGAAAGGGGCAGTGAAGAAGGAGGAGGGGCTCCTTGGTGATTTAGGTTTGAATTCCTTCCTCATTCCCTACTCAAAATCACACGAATCTAAGTATCCTTGTTGCAAAATAATAATGATTCTAAGAACAATGGTTACTTTACTTGTAAAAATGCAACCTCCTTTTATTGGGTGTGTACTCTGTGGTAAGTTTTATATCCAGTGTATCTCGGCCAGTGTCCCTAAGGGATCCTGCCTCACATTCTTTACAGCAGCTCTGCAAGTGGGTGCAGGATTATCTTCCTTTTCTAAGGAGTGTAACTGAAACTCAAAGTGTGGAATAACCAGCCAAAGACACCCAGCTTGTAAACTATAGGGCTCAGGCTTTAGAGTCTACCTGACTCCACACATACTCCACCAGGTTCAGGAAGGAATTCAGGGTCACTAGTAGAAGGGTATTCCCAGAAATTGTGAGGTCCCCTTATCTTCGCAGTAGATGCCAAAAAAAAAAAAAAAAAGAATGTTCTCCAGCCATTCACAAAGAGTGGGTTTTGCCTAGAGTTCATAGGCTTAGGTTATTTAATCAAATCAATAGCAGTTACTAACACTTTTGAGCTCTTAGCATGTGCAACTCATGGGCCTAAGGGCTTTACATACATTAACTCATCAACTCCCAAGAAAACTCAAGTGTTGATGGTCTTAGAAAGAAGGAGCCAGAGATCCAAGTGGTTGGGTACCTTGCTCAGGCTCCATAGTTGGATGTACTATGATGGTTGAAGAGATCCTTTGCCAAACAATCACAGGTGGATTTTACAGATGGCATCCAAAGTTGAACTGCTTAGGCTGTTTCTACCACTTGTTAGCTGGCTGATCACCGGCAAAATACTAAACCTCGCTGGACCTCAGTTTCTTCATATGTAAATTGGGCTAACAACCTAATTCAAAGACTTATTGTGAGGTGTAATGTATACAAAGTGCTTTGCACATGCCTGGCACAAAATAGGTGCTTTATATATATGTGAGCTGCTGCTACTATTACTACTAATTGATATTATCACCACCAACCCTCAGAGGTAGTTTAATTTTGATTTCATTGTCACTGTTTTGCACACAGCTGGGAGTTACAGCTCATTAAGAACAAACACATCATTGAACTGTGACAGAAAGAGCAGGTAAATGTAGGCACCTAAGCCTTCCTGGTCCTCCTTCCCTAAAGCCCAAGCACTTGCAGAGTAGTGAACAGACATGTCAGGAACTCTGAACCCTAGCTCCTAGCCTGTGCTGAAGAGGCCCATAGCACTTATTAAATGTGCTTGGTTTGCGAATGCAGCCCATGTGGATGAGTCCCAGACCTCAGTTGCCTTCACCTGTGTGGCTGGTTTGGAAGAGCAGAGCTCTTTCAGGGGCCAGGCCAATGGGAGGGGAAGGCTAGAGGTCCGGCCTGCTCAGTTTTCTGTGCAGACGGTGGGGAGATGAATTGTCAGAGCAGTAACAGGATGAAGCAAGTTGGGTAGGACTCTTGTGCATGATCTGCTAAGAGTGGTATATTCTGAGGCAGAAATGCTCTGCACTTAGGAAGCAGAATATGTTAGCCATCCAGCCTTAGAGTGGGGGGCTCCCTCTGACACCACTCTTGACTGCCCTGTTTAAGGCTGTCCTAGTGAGCCCACTTTCTGCATCCCCTGACCTCTGAGGAATCCCAAGGGCTTAGCTTGCATTTTTACAATGGATTGCTACTTCCATTGGAGACACAAAGAAGTACTCATGTCAGAATTTGCTTGTCACACCTGATGAGATTTTCAAATAGTGTGGGAGCAGGGTCCTTTGACAAAATGCCCTCTCTGGCTTTCTGGTAGCCTCAACAACACATCATCATAGTCCAAATCCCATATCCTCCTTACTGTAAGGAGACATGCAGGCAGACAGTAGTGTCCCCTCCTATGCCTTTAGCCTGCTCAGAGTGTTGGCTGTGCCTGGGAGAAGTGCAGCTGGCCTCCAGGACAGGCCAGGCCAGGCCAGCCATTCTCAGACATCAGGGGGCAGAAACAATCTTTTCTAAGGATAAATCTCATGTTATACTCATCACCATCCAGCCCTTACTGCTGAAAACCCTTCCCTGGCTCCCCTAGGTATAGGATAAAGACACTCTCAAACCATTGTGCTTTCCTTCCGCCTTGCACATGCCATTCCCTCTGCATGGAACATTTTTCCTTCTTCTCTCCACCTTGTTAATGCCTACTCATCCATTCAATCTCAGTCCAATATCACTTCTTCAGGGAAGCCTACTGGGACTTTCCCAGTTTGATCGGATCCTCCAATTTGGCACTTCATAGCACATGTATGTGTATCTTAAAGCACTTGTAACAGATGCAATTTTGCATTTGTTTTTGTGATGCTTTGAGTAAAAACTATCTGCCCTGCTAGTTTATGAGCTCCATGACGACTGTGAATATAGCCTTATAACTGTAAGTTTTTGCTCACCATTTATTTCCAGGCCTAGCACAATTGCTAACGTATAGTAGACATTCAGCAAATATTTGATGAGTGTATGAGTAAGTGAATGAATGACTAGGGCTGCTTCTTAAGAAAAGAGTTATCATTGATCCATCATGACCCTTATTTCCTTTAGATACAACTTAGCCTCATAATTGTCACCCCAATGTTCCAGGCAGTTGCCACCCATCTGTAGGAG